TAGTCCGCCTGGTTTGCATCCGACCGTGATCGCACAACTGGCCCTCAAAATATTCCATCTTTTTGCCGGCTGGGAAGTAAAAATTTTGAGAGCGTCTACTCCAAACCTACTTAAAATCATCAGGAAATGTTTTCTTATCGAACACATTCGGCACATATTCTCGCAGCATTTTTATCGAGGTGACAAGCCATGACCTATGTCTTCTTTCGAATACTTAACGGCAACGTGCTGTACACTTGTATGCAATCCCTCGCCGAAAAGCCATCTAACTCGGTAGGGGGGACATAAGCTTGGACTATTAATGCCGGAAGCAGCCACATCTCAGGTTAAAAAACTCTAAGATCGACGGGAAAGCTGTTACCCGCGTGCGGAAAATAGGACGCTCTGTGCGGACACTCTAAGCCAAACGAGATTGGAAACATTTTTGAAATGCAGGTAGCAGTGATGCTAGTGCCGCGGAAGGAAACAACACACTGCAGTTGTCCCATTAATTGGACAAGGTCACCGCACGCACTTGTGGCGGACTGAGTAGTCTGCTGCTTTGCGAGGGCGCCAAGTGACCGCCAGAGTTTCTTAGATATGATTGTGATATCTGATGCAGTGTCCAGCTGTAGGCGAACAGCGTGCTCGTTGAGAGATAGGTCAACAAACTTCCGGCGATCAGCTGCTTTAGCCTGAAATGTGGCCGACAGACTCAGAGAATTACCGGCAGACTGAGGTTGGGACTTTCTTTGCGGCTTGGAACGGCGCTTGGAGTTGGAATTGCCGGGGGCGGACTCGCTTGCGCAAGGTGAGGGTCGGCAGAACCCATCACAGTGCCCCACCTGGTTACACTTCTGACAGCGATGTTGCTGAAATGTGCACTCCTAATGGAAATGCCAAGCGCCACAGTGCCGACAATGAGAGGGCGGGGATTTCGCCTTGGTAGCTGGCTTGGGCCGCCTAACCAGAGGTGGCTTAGCTGCTGCGACCGCATTCACTGAGCCAGCAGTAGAAGCGCCCTGGACCATGGCCGAGTTGTGGTTGAGATTGATAAGTGCTTGACATTCGGCAGCCAGTTCTTGGAGGGTAACTGAACTGCTCTGTTGCACGTGGGATAGAAGACGCGTTCGGATGTCAGCATCCTTGGGGGACTGGAGGCTGCAGATGAAGATAAGGCATTTAAACTGGTCTTCTGTGAGAGGACCGAGTTGAAAACGCCGACACTCGCGATTCACAAGGCCGGCTTGCGTGATGGAATCGTCGGATTCTCGTTTGTGCAGTTGGAGGCACTGGACTCGGGTGTTGAACAGTGAAGACTGCTCACCGAAGATCTGCGACAACGTCTTCAGCTGGTCCGCGAAGGAAATGTCTCTTGGATTCTTGGGCAAAATGAAGTTCGTGTAG